GGGTGATGAGAACTTTCTCTGATGCTTCTCTTTTTTCAATGAAGCAAAAATGGAAGGAAAGGGGTTGAGAAGAGAGGAGGAGACATGAAATAGCATCTTGGAGAGTGGAAACCTTACTAAAGAAATATAGCAGGATTGCTGTGAAGATTTCTGTTAACACGTTTAACATGACAGTCAACCAATTCTATAATTTTTTTCCCAGCCACTTTCAGTTGCTCCCTTCTCAACAGAGAGAAGGCATATCACTGGATTCTTCCTTTTATGAGATAAATGCAGTGATTAAAGACCAGAGGAAGGAAATGAAAGGCATTAGAAAAGGAATGAAAGGTCCTGAAGTATAAGCTGATTAAGGAGGGAATTAAAAACAAGAAGAATGCATAAAGGATTGCAAAAAATTAGAGAGGGATATTGTTCATTGATTTGGTTTACTCATTCACTACAACAATTGAGCTTCTGCTATGTGCCAGACTGTACTGGGTCCTGTGAATATGTTCGTAAGCAATAGGATATAGGTCTTCTCACGTTGTACGTGATATAGGTCTGCTCATGGAGTAGGGTGAGGTGGTTAGTGAGGAATTGAAACCACTCGGTATTACAGTCATACGTTGCTGAGCGCAGTGAAGAAATGGAGAGCGTCAGCAGTGCAGAGAGCAGTGGTGACACGGTGACGTGTTCAGGGCGGGCGTCCGCCGCAGTGAACCCTGAACCGAGGCCTGGATGAAGCGCAGGAGCACACTGCGAGTATCTGCGATCCGTGGGCTCGGCTGAGGGAACAGCAACTGTGTTTGTATTTTTTAATGTCATTAGTAGGTGAATGGTAAGGCCAACAAAGCCGTGACAAACCAGGTATTTTTTTTCTTTCCCTATTGTGTTTTAAAGTGGTCTTTTCATGATACCAAAGTGACACAGCAGGTTTAAACAATTGATTGTTGCTCAGAGTCTTTAGAATGGGCAGTTAGTTCAGTCAGAAGTCTCATTCAAGCAGTGGAAATGTTTAAAATAAATATAAATATACCCTGTGTAATACATTCATGTCTAATTTATCATTCCATCCTCCAGTGACCAGCATTGGAATGCCACACACAATAGGGCTCAGTTAATATTTGAGAGAATTTCCATGCACACATATAGTTTAATAGTTACAATTAACAAAAACATTCCCCCTTCAAACCTTTGCAAAGAAGTTCTTCTAAGGGGAGAGTTTAAACACAAACCTGAGGTTCCTTTCCTTTGTCTAAGAATTGGGGATTAGCTTTAAAAGCCATGTTTTTTAAATGTAGATACAGTTTATGTACCATACAGTTCACTTGTTTACAGTATGCAGTTTCTTGAGTTTTAGCATGTTTACAAAGTTGTACAACCATTACCATTACCTAATTCCAGAACATTTTTGTCACTCCCAAGACCCTGACAGCCGCCGATCTACTTCCTGTTGCTATTTGCCTGTTCTGCGCATTTCACATACGTGGAATCACGCAATACGTCTGTCGTTTTGTGTTTGGCTTCTTTCACTTGGCATGTTGTTTTCATGATATTATTAGCAGATATTAGTGCTTTATTCCAATTTATAGCTGGACAATATTCCATTGTGTGAATATCCCATTTTTTAAAAATCTGATCATCAGTTGATAAGACATTTGGGTTATATACATTTATGGACTGTTATGAATAATGCTACTGTGAGCACTCATGTAAAAAGTTTTGTGTGGACATATGTTTTTAATTCTCAGGTATATGCCTGCAAGTATAAGTGGCTTTTTAAAAGCACAACTTTAAGAACGCTTAATCTTTAAACTGTTTCTCATAATATATTACCGAGTTTCCACACTATATCTGTTTTAAAACAATAAACTAAGTTATTACCAGTTATTGATTTAAGGTACTAGTTGAATTACTTAATTTTTCTCTAGAAATCTGAGTAACACTACCCTGCAGGGAATGTTGCCGGTGTTCTGTAGCTCACTGACACTGCTTGGGTGCCCACACCTTTGCAGCATTCTGATGGTGCTCTGGGAATGCAGCTCTGAAGAGGACATGGCTTACCTTTTAGTCAATAAATGCTGTTTCCTGGAAGAATCATGAAATCTTGAAATTTAAGGCTAGATAGAATTCTTGGAATGCATCTAATTAATCCCTTTGTTTTATAGATCTTTAAACTGAGGGAGAGATCCAAGAGGTTAAAATGCTTGCCTGGCTTCCTCGAGATGGTTAGTTCAAGAACTAGGATGAGAAGGCAGCTCTCTTGACTCTGCATTTTGTGCTGTGACGAGAGATCCAAGAGGTTAAAATGCTTGCCTGGCTTCCTAGAGATGGTTAGTTCGAGAACTAAGATGAGAAGGCAGCTCTCTTGACTCTGCATTTTGTGCTGTGACTACTAAACTTCACAATGACTCTGTTGTCTGAATTTGAAGTCATAAAACAAAAAATGAAAGAATTTATGTAGGTGGCATTTTCAGTTAAAAGTTTACAGAAAGCACTTTCAGAGTCTTTTAGGGAAAAGCTGACTCTCAGCTTTATATTTATTAATTCACAGGGACAGGGAGGCAAAATAAGGGTGATACCATCACTTTTAAAGGGAATACTGTCTCTTCTAGTTTATGCATAAGGAAGAAAGAATTGTAGGCATTTATAAACCAAACAGATGTAAACAAAGGTCAGTTATTCCTATTAACTTCCCTTACCAGTCAGCCTTTTTTCTTCTCATCACATTCTAACATTTATGTACTAGTAGTTTAAAAAGAGGTATAAGGATTATACCTAATTATATTTTCCAAGTGTAGCCAAATTACACAACAGATTATGCAGTTAATAACTTGGACCTTTTAAATATCATTCTGGTTATAGTTTATTCCTCTCACAGTGAGTCAGAAACAGGAATGGGTTCATTCACTGTTTCCAGTAAACAGCTTCCCACCAGCAGGTGTTGTGACTGATGGGAATGGGTAGGACTGGAAGGCACACTTATTTGGAGATCTCAGAAATGTACCCTTGATCCACACATAGGGCTGTGCGCAAGGCCACAGGCAGCTGAGTGTGTTGGCAGCACTGCAGTGACACCCCCCACACACACACCCCCCTCTCCAGCTCACAAGAGGCTCTGGTCTCCTCTGAATCCCTACCACAAAGCAGAGAACAGGCGCCATGTACGGACCTGTGGCCCAGGCCCCACCCTCTGTGTGATTTTGGTCACATCACCTCAGGGTCCACATCTCTCACTTGTAAAATTGGGGGAGGGTAGCTGAGCACTGGGTTCTTTAAAAATTCTCTTGGCTTTAAAATGCTGTGATTCTATAGAAAGATGGTAACGATAACCCTATGTGCAAAACAGAAAAAGAGACTCCTATGTATAGAACAGACTTGTGGACTCTGGGAGAAGGTGAGGGTGGGATATTTCAAGAGAACAGCATTGAAACACGTATATTATCTAGGGTGAAACAGTTCACCAGCCCAGGTTGGGTGCATGAGACAAGTGCTCGGGCCTGGTGCACTGGGAAGACCCAGAGGGATCGGGTGGAGAGGGAGGTGGGAGGGGGGACCGGGATGTGGAATACATGTAAAAAAAAAAAAAAAAAGATACACTATGGTTGTGATAAAAAAATAATAATAATAAATTAATTAAAAAAAAAATAAAAAAATGCTGTGATTCTACAACCTACTCTTTTAAGATATTGAGTATATTGGATGATAAGTAGTATCTATAGATGATAAGAGCTCAGGCTTTAAAGTAATTCGAAACCATCTTTGAATCCTGTGTGACATGAGGCAATTTACTTAACATCTGTACACTTTTATTGTATAATGTTCAATACAATTTTATTGTATAATATTGTATAATAGTTCAAAGGGGAATAATGATAATATAATACAATTATAGTACTTAACTCATAGACTGTTGAGGTGGAAATGGTATTATAAATGCAAAGTCTTTAGCACTGTGCCTGATATATCCTATAATTTAGCAATTATTTATTAGTAGTGAGTAGTGTTATTATTTCCTTTAGGAATGTTTTATACTAATAATATACTAGAAACAAAACAATTCCAGCAAATTTTAGTAACATTACAAGGTATGTAGACTGTAGTTTTGTTTAAAAGATGATGATCTTAAAAAAGGATGATGATTAATGAACCTTGAGACGAACTTGAAAAAAAAACTCATTATTTAGGTGATTGAATGGTAGGCATGATGGGAGAAGAAATGAGATGCTGAGGTTAAGGTTATGGAGCAAGTAAAAGAAATCTAACCTATTCTTAGCATTATTGTCAACTATCATCTTCCTGTTACATATTTTTGTTCTTTCTTAATCTAGAGATAGAATCATCCATGGAAAATTTACTAAACTTAATGGCTATTCAGAAGTGAATCCCTGTATTATATTTTAAAACAACAAGCTTATTCTTTTCATGTAATATGTAGAAATAAATAGTAAATCTATCCAACCCCAAGTAAGCTGCCACTCATAATCTCTGCTCTTATTTTTGCATGTACTATATTGGCATGAACCAAGGACTTAGAAGCTTAAATATTTTGTAAACAGATACTCTGATATTTTTTTCTCAGGATATTGATATTGTCACTATTCAGTAGCAGTTTGCAAAACAATGTGAAGGAATTTGTTTTATGATAAAATATTTATAGAATCAAAACCCATTTGTGAAATACTTGGAGAAAGTTGGAAACGCAAAGTTTGGTGTTGATGTCTTGGAAAGTTTCTCTTTAGTTCTCCAAAGGAGAGGTGAGCTGTCTGTGAATATGTAAGTGACATGATATATCATCTTAGAATATATATGTCCTATAAGTACCATACTGATTCTGTCACTGTCTTATGTTACTTCACCATTGTATGTGATGAAGAAGAGAAATGTTTTGGCTTCTCACTACAATCTCACTAGCTTCTGATGTGAACAACTCAATCCAGAAATGATTTTCACTATATTGTAATTTCTGATTAGGGTGGTGTTCTTCAGTCTCTAATGTTTCTTTCATACTTCTTTTATAGGAGGCCAATTGTAAGAACATCCTTCTAACAAAAGATTTTGAAAGAGATGCACAAAAGCCATCTCCAAAAACCAAGGTAGGCTATCTCTGCTCTTTAGGCAGAAACATTTAGGAAGACTCTTTATCTTCTTGTGTTTCCATGTTTTGTTGCTTGCATTCCCTCAGCACCACCACCCCATCTTCTTTGGACCTAGTGGTCTTAAATATAACATATACTTTATATACTTTATATGTTATATTTACTGTGTAATCCAGGATTATAGTCATCCAAAAATGCTCAACACACTTATTATTTAACAGTGATATTTTTATTTTTGTGTTACCCAGTATTTTTTTGTATTTTACATTGATGTATAGTTGATTTACAATGTTGTGTCAGTTTCGAATGTGCAGTAAAGTGATTCGGTTGTACCTAACGTACATCTATTACCTTGCAGATTGTTTTCCCATATAGATTATTACAGAGGGCTGAGTAGTGTTCCCTTGTTGATTATCTATTGTATGTATAGTAGTGTCTATATGTTAACCCCAACCTCCTTATCCTCATCCCTACCTTTCCCCTTTAGTAGCCATAATTTGTTTTCTAAGTCTGTGAGTCTGTCTGTGTTTTGTAAATAAATTCATTTGTGTCATTTAGATACCACACATAAGTGATATCATATATTATTTGCCTTTCTCTTGTATGACTTACTTGACTTAGTATGATAAGCTCCAAATCCATCCGTGTGCTGCAAATGGCAATATTTCATTCTTTTTTATGACTAATATTCCGCTGTATGTGTGTATGTGTATACATACACACACCACATCTTCCTTATTCATTGCCCTGTCAGTGAACATTTAGGCTGTTTCTGTGTCTTGGCTGTTGTAAATTGGGGAGCATGTATCTTTTTGAATTATGATTTTCTCCAGACATATGCCCAGGAATGGGATTGCTGAATCATATGATAGCTCTATTTTTAGTTTTTTGAGGAACCTCAATACTGTTCTCTATAATGTCTGTACCAGTTTTCATTCCCACCAACAGTGTAGGAGGGTTCCCTTTTCTCCACACCCTCTCCAGCATGTATTAAGACTTTTTGATATGAACTATCATACATATGACAGAATAAAGGGTATAATGTGTAAAATTTTGTTTTCCTTATTAAGATAATTTCAAAATGCACATATTTGTTTTGCTACTGAGAAGAAAAACTCATTGAACTGAAATAAATCATGAGAATTTATTTGATACACCCAGAAGAGTGATTGCATTAATTTTAGAGCCCCTTTCCAAATCTTAAATCTTTTAAGAAGAACTTTTCCCATATACTGGGCTTTCCTGGTGGTTCAGAGGGTAAAGCGTCTGCCTGCAATATGGGAGATCCAGGTTTGATCACTGGGTCAGGAACATCCCCTGGAGAAGGAAATGGCAACCCACTCCAGTATTCTTGCCTGGAGAATCCCATGGACAGAGCAGCCTGGTAGGCTACAGTCCATGGGGTCGCAAAGAGTCAGACACGACTGAGCAACTTCACCCACTCAGTCACTCACTCTCCTATATATTAGGTGTATATTCCTAACTGGCCAGTGTATATTTTGAAATTTTATTTATTTTTGGCTATGTTGGATGCTCTTTGCCATGCACAGGCTTTCTCTAGTTGTGGTGAGAGGAGGCTACTTTCTAGCTGTGGGCCGTGGGCTTCTCACTGCAGTGGCTTGTTGCAGAGCCCAGGCTGTAGGACGCATGGGCTTCAGTAGTTGTGCGCAGGTTCAACAGCTCTGGTGCACGGGCTTAGTTACCCTGAGGCATGTGGAATCTTCCCAGACTTAAGGATCAAACCTGTGTCCCCTGCATTGGCAGGAGAATTCTTAACCACTGGACCACCAAGGAAGTCCTGTGATATTTATAGAGCTACTTTTTGTTTTTCTCCAATTCTAAGAAAAAATTTTCTCCAAATTTTCCTGTGTACATTGTGGGCAAAATTTTAAAGGATTCTTGTCTTTACTTTTAATTGCACATTATTATAAAAATGATTTTGGCTTTATTTTTAAAGGCAAATCAAGTTAAATGTGAGTCATTACTTAGTATCTTACAGTAAGAGGCTACAGTTATTTTTTTTTAATTTTTTAAAAATCTTTTTTAGGAAACTTTTTCCATCTTTTTTTCCTGGAAAATTGTTTTAACTACTATGCTTTTCTTTCCAGATCAGACTATTTTTTTAATCTTTTTCACTAATATATATTCTATACAAATTTACATAACTTTAGTTCTCTAGAAGAAATCTTGTTTACTGTTAAAAATTCAGTGTCAAAAATATGCTCACCAAAACAAATGCATTGATAAATATAGGATTTCAGAAACATTTTTAGGTTGACATTTGCTCATTATCTTCATTTTTATTGGTATACTTATTTTTAGGTGAAGAGACCTTAGATGAATCACTTTCTAAATGTAAGATAATCTTGAAACCTGTCATAAAAATTGTTTGATGGGATTCTCTTATTCTTATGAAATTAATCCAATTTGGAATATTTCAGGCATATAGAGAATCAGTAATTAATGTGCATTGATTACCCTCTGTGAGTCTCACTGTATTGTTCATGACCAAGCTAATTAAATAGAGAAATTGCTTCATTGGTTAATCTGCAGTTTGTGACTTTAGCTTTTTTGTGGTCTTACATGAGCAAGTTTAAATTTACATGAGCATCCTAATCTTTGCTTAGCTTTGCTTAGTTTAGAGGTGATTAAAACTCTTGTAGTTTCAAATCCCCAGAAATGAAGCAGAGCATGTGAGCTATACACATGCTTATAAGGCACACAGGATTATAAGGCACTAACTCTTTCCCCCAGATTGTATTAAAGATCTTTTTTCTAGCAGTTGATCTTTGAAAACTGAAGCTGAAAACACCTTCAAAATATAGTTGATATAAAAAACAAAATGTGGATGGTGTGTCCTTTCTAGAATGACTTAGGGAACTGTGAGAATGATGTGTATCCTTGGTACTAATGTTACTTCATTTGGCCTCCATAGCGGTCTTTCTCAGACATCTCTAGTTACAGCCGTATGTGCCTTGGACAGCTAAATATTTCTGATCCCTATATGGCTAGAGATGTAAAATGGTAATCCAGAAATGGCATGTGTCCCATTGGCTCTGGAGATGTCTCTCTAGTCTAAACCATCTGTCCCCATCTGTGTTCCCTCTGCTAGTTGTCTCTGCTCTTAGGCAATGGGGAGGATTGTATTTCTCTCCCTTACATAGGAAAACCTCTTCTTGACCTGAGTCCGCTGGAAAAAATAAGTGACACCTTCATTACACAGTGCCATGATACTTCCTGGATGAGCAATGATCACCAGCCCTGTTAGTTCAAGGACATGCTCATATAACCATTTCATGCCCCATAAGGGATAGACTGCATATGCAAACAAGTAACTGGAATAGACAATATAGAAGGGAACATCAAACAGATTTTTAAAGAGGTGTAAAACATAGACATAGTTTCTTGTAACCTAGTAAGATCATGATTTGAGGAGAAGAGACAAAATCTGCCTAATACAAATGCCAGTGACTCTAAATAAGCCTCATAGCTCATGTTCATTGGTCACAGTATAAACCCTGAAGAGGATCCAGGAACTGAGGGAAAAAAAACTGTCTTTCTTCTCTCTCCCCTTGGTGTATGACCTAGACTTCCCACTGAACTTGCTATGTTCTTGTTGACCTTGGTTAAAAAAAAAGTTCAGGCCATTGTATAAGAAGGCCTGTCCAATTAATTCAGTGCTGGGTGAAGGTATAAAATACAAGATAATCTGTTTCCTTTATGATTCCCTGATAGCTCAGTTGGTAAAATTAAAATTATAAGCACATAATAGTTTTAGTCACTGAATTCTCCTAGTGCTTTTATAGATGTTTCTTTTAGTAAACCAAGTCATATTAACTATAAAATGTGTGATAAAAATAGTGCAGTTATCAAGTAAACAGTTATGTAGTAGAAGCAACTGTTAAATTATTTTTATTTTCAGAGGTTAGTGATTTCAGGGATCATGCAACATTTATGAAGGAGATTTTATTCAAGATGAAACCAGTTGTCACATTTGTAGTTTCTTAAATGATTTTTTAAATGCCTGTGCCTATTAGCAAAGTAAACTGGAAACTTAGACTAATGTAGAATTTTGAGAAATTTTAGTGACAGTATAATTAAATTTACAAATTAAGTCATTTAATAAGCGTGTAATTTTACCAAGATTCAAAGTTATTTTAAAGTCATTGTTAATGGATGTGAATGTATTTTGTGGTTGCTTTAATTTATAAAACATTCTAATTAGTATTCTGCTTTTCCACTGAACATTGTTTCAGTATCTGTTTCCATGCATCAGCTTAGTTTGTGTGCTTATTTAATAAAAGTAATAGTAGTAGTAGCAGTAATAGTGATGATTGCTAATACTGATCAAGTGCCAGACACTATACTTAATATATATATATATTATCTAGTAATCATAACATTTCATATGTTGTCATTACCATATTCAGCTATTTTGAAATTTTGAAACTGTTTCTAGTTATCATTAATATAAAAAGCCTTACTTGATAAGTGTTAAACAAAGAGTAATTTTTAAACACTTTTATTTTCTTAGGTTTTATGACCTATAGTAGAATTAAAAGATACAAATTGTTTTATGATTAATATACCCTAACATACCATCTCTCCTCCCTGTTTTGAAATTGTTTACAATTTCAGAGGAATCGGGTGGAGAGGGAGGTCAAAGGAGGGATCGGGATGGGGAATACATGTAACTCCATGGCTGATTCATGTCAATGTATGACAAAACCCACTGCAATGTTGTGAAGTAATTAGTCTCATAGTACTTTAATTAGACAGTGGAACATGTGTCTACAGAGCTGCCTGTCTACTTGCATTGGATCTGTGTCATGACTTAAAAACAAACCTCTGGTTTGTTACACCACTGAGATTTCCGAGTTAATTTGTCCCTTCCCTGTAATATAGTCTACCACATGGGCACTGTGTTTTTTATGTGTTTATGTTTTCATATGTTTATTAAGCTTTGATCATATTTGTGATTATTAATCTATGTGCTG